CATAATGTTTATGACTGTAGATCAATGTTTACCTATGCTTATTAGTGTTTACCTACATTTACCACTGACTATGTTTATCAACCTTTATGTATGTTTATTTACTTTTACCACTGTATATAAATATTTACCCACATTTACCACTGTGTATTCACAATTTACTTTTGTTTACTTATGTTTATTGTTGTTTACCATGGTTTATCATTGTTTGCCTAGGCTTACTTATGTTTATCATTATTTGCCACTGTCTACTTATGTTTATCACTGTTTATCACTGTTTACCACTGTCTACTTACGTTTATCACTGTTTGCCACTGTCTACTTATGTTTATCACTGTTTATCATTGTTTACCACTGTCTACTTATGTTTATCACTGTTTATCATTGTTTACCACTGTCTATTTATGTTTATCACTGTTTATCATTGTTTACCACTGTCTACTTACGTTTATCATTGTTTATACCACTGTCTACTTATGTTTATCACTGTTTATCATTGTTTACCACTACTTATGTTTATCACTGTTTATCATTGTTTACCACTATCTACCCTTGTAAAAATTCCCAGCAAGATCTTGCTAATTTTCTTACAAGATCATGACAAGAATCTTGACAATAATTCGCAAGATCTTTCCTGAATTTGGAAAAAGGATCATGTAAGATAGTGGAAGATCTTGCTATCAAGATTCCTTCAAGTTCTTGCAAGATCAAATGCAAGATCTTTTCAAGATTCTTACTAAGTCTTAACAGGATCTTTCCTGAATTTGGAACAAGGATCATGTAAGATAGTGGAAGATCTTACTATCAAGATTCCTTCAAGTTCTTGCAAGATCAAATGCAAGATCTTTTCAAGATTCTTACTATGTCTTAACAGGATCTTTCCTGAATTTGGAACAAGGATCATGTAAGATAGTGGAAGATCTTGCTATCAGGATTCCTTCAAGCTCTTGCATGGTATTTTAGCAAACAATGCTCTTTAAAAATTAATGTAACAGTAAGATCTAGGCAAGATCTTACACATTGCATGAATGCATAATATATGTGTAAAATGTTGTGAAATGTGAATGTGAACGTCATTGATTTTTTTGATTGAAGTGATTAAAACTTCAGTTTCTTTATATGTTGCCATTACTGTTAAGGCTATCGTGGGTTGTCAACTACTTCCTGTGACGTCACATGATTTGTAAGATCTTTCAAGATCTTGTAAGACTCAAAATACTGTGATGTGTGATCTTACAGTATCATAAGATCATGGCAGATTTGTCAAGATCATAAACTTATAAGATTTTGTAAGACCTTATAAGATTTTAAGTTAACAAGATCATGTTAGTTCTTACAAAGTTCACAATGTGGGATATTTCAAGATATTAATTAGGCATGATCTTACATTTTCTAATATATTCCTTTACTCATAAAATCTTTGAAATTCTTACAAAAATTATAGTCATGTTAGATCTCGGGAGATCTGACAGCTTCTTAAAATCTTATGAAATCTTAAAGCAAGAATTTGTAAGAATTTCTGTGACAAGATTTTACAAGATTTCTATCTTATGTTTTCTTGTATTGTCATGTGAAATCATGAAACATCTTATAAGATCTTGGTGGGATTTTACTTACATTTATCATTGTTTATACCATTGTCTACTTATGTTTATCACTGTTTATCATTGTTTACCACTGTCTACTTATGTTTATCATTGTTTATCATTGTTTGCCACTGTCTACTTATGTTTATCATTGTTTATCATTGTTTGCCACTGTCTACTTATGTTTATCACTGTTTATCATTGTTTGCCACTGTCTACTTATGTTTATCACTGTTTATCATTGTTTGCCACTGTCTACTTATGTTTATCATTGTTTATCATTGTTTGCCACTGTCTACTTATGTTTATCATTGTTTATCATTGTTTACCACTGTCTACTTATGTTTATCACTGTTTATCATTGTTTACCAAATTACCACTGTCTACTTATGTTTATCACTGTTTATCATTGTTTACCATTGTCTACTTATGTTTATCACTGTTTATCATTGTTTACCGGGTCTACTTATGTTTATCACTGTTTATCATTGTTTACCACTGTCTACTTATGTTTATCACTGTTTATCATTGTTTGCCACTGTCTACTTATGTTTATCACTGTTTATCATTGTTTGCCACTGTCTACTTATGTTTATCACTGTTTAGGATGATACAAGAGCTCTGTTTCCACACTGATGTTTACTACTGAAATTAACAGTAAACTCTGGAGTTTGGCTAAACCATTCGTCTTAAATCAAGCCTTATCTCACAAAAATACACCGAGTTTTTATTATACTAATGACGTCATAGCTCAATAGCCCTAGCCCCACCTACACAGTTTAGCTGAGCTGAGTTTTAACAAAACCAAAAATTATTTAAGAAAAATATACAGCAACTAAAAGTTGAACTATCACACACATGCGAAAACATGATATTGATCTGCACATCATACTGTCTCTGCAGTTAACTTGCTGCTGCAGCTATACTTATTAGTATTGGTGGAATGAGTGCTATTGCAATTCCAATACCATTGAGTATCAATCCCACTATTATTGCTGCTACACTATAACTTTTTGCTTGAGAGGAAGCTTGTAGAGCTCTATCATAATCACCACTTTGATTGTAGGTACGTGTCTGAGAAAAAAAAATGTAAATTAAAAAGCAGTTTCAGCGATTTTACCTCCATTGACTTCATTATTGCAAATATTGCAATCATCCAGCAACAAAATATAGCACAAATTGAAAGCCCAAGGTAATCAGGAGAAGGCT